GAATTTCTTTGTAGAAAAAAAAAGAAAAATATAACCAGATGAACTGGTCATTTTAATCTTGAAATATCTGGATTTTCTTAGACTTTTTGGAAAATCAAAACTGTTCAAAAATTTGTTCTGGATACAAGAAAAAAAAAAAAGTGAAGAAATGGGAAAGTCTCACAAAAAATCGGATATAAAATAAGAAGACATGAAAAGAAGAAAAGGATTAGCCAGTACAAACCAGAGGTTACTGCTAACTAAAGGTGCCATGTCTTTTGTTTGTATCAGAAGAAGGCTCTTTTTTCTTAATGCTTCTTTCAGTCAATTAATTTCAAAATTTTTGAATTGTTGCCGTTTTACTACAAATGTGCAGCAGAATAAAAGTGCTATACTTGAAAATTGAAAGTCATTGAAGAAATACTAATTTTTTTGCGAATCCCTTTGTTTTCTAGGACTTTTTGCAATATTCTTCTTAATCCTAAAGGAGACCATAATATATTTCTAATATTTTTCCTAAAACTATCATACCTACTGGCAGCGGAGTAGTGGAACCAACCGTTTGATCAATCTGTCATGTTCATTCATTATTTCGGTTATCAGCTGACACAACTTGGCTAAAACATGTGATTAGATGTTGTAGTGTTAGAAAAATATCACTTTTGTGACAAATTCGAGGTAGATGAGGTTTTATTAAACATCCAGTTTCATGTTCAATATGGTTACTTTCGAGAAGCTTAAGAAATCTGGTTTGGATACATTTGCTGATGTAGCGATTAGCTCTTTTTAAGTTTGGCCACTTCTGAAAATTATGGTTATTCAGAAATTTTAAAAAAAGTTAAAATTTGAGTAGTCTATTCTACTATATCCAGGAAATCAAAATACATGTATATTAAGAAAGAAACAATTAGATGGAGCAGTTGAAAGCAATTTTTTTTATCGTATGACCCTTAAAATTTGAGTCTTTCGTCAGTACTTTGTGCAATGTGCAATGTTAATAATTAATCAAATTTTGCTTTTTTTTTCGGTTTCCGCTATGAATAAATAGTAAGCTAATTGGAACAGCTCATTACTATAATCTGTGGTTTGGTTAATAAAGTGTTATTAGTTGATATGAATAAATGAGTTGCATCAGTCTTCTTTTCTCTACACGCATCTGTTTGAGCCCGATATATCAAAGCGAAATTTTTTTTATTCGTTACCTTATATTGAAAATTCTGGTTTAAGTTCGTTACTTTGTTGCAGCACATCGTTCAATTTCCGGTAATCAAAAAAGATAGAAGTTTATTCAAATATTTAAAGTTTCGAAATTTGTCAACTGTTGCAGTTAAAATGAATGTCGTTTTTTGCATTTTTAGTGGACACTCTATTTGTTTACTTCTTTTCGCTGTTCCGATCAATTCCGAAGCATTCCATTTACAGAGTTTAATTAACATAATGATCCATATTTGCCTAAAATTTTGCTAACACCTTATTCTATCAAAATCATAAAACGAATAAATAGCTTTTATTTGTACTGGAATTTAATGCATATTACAGTATTGAGCTTGGGGAACATTTTAAAATGAGTTTCTTTTTAATGAGCATTCTGTTCAATAAAGTCGGCAATTATTAGTTGGTATAGTTACGACGTAACTATCAGTAATTAACTTTGAGATTATTGAACTACTTTTTAATTTTCAAGTGAAGGATAAGTTGTCCAGATATTTAGCATGGTAGTACTATGGAAACTAGTTTTTCAGAAGTGATTAAAAGAGCAGAGAGGAAAAAGAATAAAATGTTAGAAACGTTACGGAAGTCAAAGGTTTTACAACGTCACTATAATTGTTATTGACCGTTTTTACATTCACCATTACGTCCGAATTTGCAATAAGACGTACAATTCAGTGAACTGTTATCTCTTATCCCACAGGTTTACGTGCTTACAAGAGATAATGTAAATTTTGACTTGCTTAAAATTTTTGTACCATGCTTTAGCACTGCTTTTTCATTGATATTCCTACACCGTCTTCAAATTAGAAGTCGGAACGGATTGACCATAAGGGAAACAATTCATACCATCGCATCTGAACACTTTTTTTTAGATTCCTTTCTCATTTCGTTCAAGCACTTTATCAGGAATCGAATTTCAATTTTTTTTCTCCACATATTAAATCTTTGGAAGTGTGCCAGAATTCATCTAATATTTCCAGATGAAACAGTTCTAGAACTCCAAGCGATTAAGGTGCGAATTCGAAATCATGAACTTCTCATAAACTAGTAGAAATGCAATCAGTCATTTTCTACCAACTTATGAAAAATTCGACTTTCATCAGCATATCAGTTCAGCAGAATGATAAATTCATTTTATCACAGGTTTAACTTTAATTTTTCCTTTTAGTATCCTATTGCTTTAAATCTAGATTGGTTTCTGATATTTTCCATTGTTAACAATAAATCCTTTGTATGCAAAAACTTGTAAAACTTCTTATAGCTCCGAAAGTAGATTTAAAAAAGAAAAAAAAATGGAATGTAGAGATCATGCAACAAAGACTCCAAAACTTCCCAAATCAAAGTGATCAAGTAGAAGCCTTGATCAGTTTGATTTGAGATCAGCTTAATCGGCTATTTCCTGCATCATGCCACAATCCTTTGTTCACCAGTGAATGGATTCCTCATGCTATACATTACTATCAAACAGAATTCCTCAACACTGCACTGAACGAAACCAGATCCAGACGGTGTCGCTCACCGTACAATTCTGATGGACGGCCTATTCATTCCATTACATTCTTTTTCATTTTTGTTGTAAACAAAATGGAAGACTTCCTCACCTTTCTTCTTTGCTTACTTACCCATTCCTTTCAATTTTCTTTCTTTTCACATACCAGGACATCTCGGGAATATGAAAATAATTTTCCAAGTTTACTAGAATTTAGGTTAGGTAATCGTAGTAAATCGTAATAAAATGTTGGCGAAATTTGCTAAAAAATTTCCAAATATTTTAATTGTAATCAGGACAAATTGATGCTATAAATAATTTCTGATATAACATTTATTTTAGAGCAAAATATTGTTGGTATTCATTCGTTTATTGATGTATGACTGAAAATGACTGCCATAAATTTGGACTGGAGGGAAAAATTTTATTTAACAAATAAAATTCGTGATTGTACTAAATCAGATAATGTGACTCTTACTTTAAGGCAGTAGCCAAGATCTTTAATCATATTCATGTTTTAATTAAACTCATGGTAGACTTTAAAAAAAAATGCGGCCTCTAAATAATTCAATTCCTATGACTAGAATTAGGGAAACTTTTCAAATTTTAGACTAATTATAATTTAATTTGAAGCTTTGCACAAATGAGTCACAGAAATTCTAGAAATATTCTACAATTAAGGAATATTTCTAGAATTAATGCCGAAGATTGAAATTAAGATCCAATCCCGTAATATTTGTCTGTTGAGATTTACTGGTGATTTGAAGCATTGGATTGAAAACAATTTTGGAAGTATTTGATTTGAAAATCAATTTTTATCAAGGGGCGTTCTCATTTCTTTACGGTTACTGATGATGTTCTAATTTTTTGGTGGTTTACCATGTTGAAACGTTACAAGAACAGTTCACCACATCGTTTCAAAGATATTATGAAATTTTTGCGATAGCACTTTCCAGAAAGATTAATGCTTTAAATTCTTTCATCTTTCATTCATAGATGGCTATGTAAATCACTCAAGAATTTCGAAACTACGAGTTGCTAATCAGTGCTGCAATGCAAATATATCGTTAAGCTTTTGTTTCGGTTGTTGTAATATCACTTCTATCGCCATTATTATTATGAACAGAAGAATTGCAAAAACTTTATCAATTCATATTAATGTTGATTTCGTTAAAAAAGTTGTCAAATTTGTTTATTATAGTCCTCGTTCTTTTTGGTTATTATTCTCCTACAACGTTTCCTGTTGTTTTCTTTTAAATAAATTAGAAATTATTACTATCAGAATTTCATTTCTCACAATAGGTCTCTGAAAGACGGTTGCACACGGCAACAAATGATTTCCGCCTGTATTCATTTTACGCCACCTCATTTCGTATTTAATGTAACTGTGTTAATGAAAAAGAATGATCACTCTTGACTGAATAAATTTTCACTTGAAAAAAGCCCTTTGGAAGTTTTTTCAACAGTTTAAATAATATATTGAAGTCACATCTATTATGATGATATCTTTTGCTTAATAAGTTAATGAGTGCATCTTCTTGAAAAAATGTACCTTTAGAGATCAAAATTTCAATGTTGAGCTTTTTTAAACATACCATAAATTTTGTAGAAAATGAAAACTGAAAATTGCTGAACTCGTTTGGTGGTGGATGTAAAATGAAAAGAATTGGCATACTGCTTGAAGCAGTCATTATTTTATTTGAAACCTGCTTGACATCAACGCCATCATGCTCTATTTATAATCCATTTCGAATACAGCCCGATGACAACAACGTGCGTTTTTATCACTCTCATTTCATTCTTCATGAATAACGTCTGGAGACAAATATGTGTAACAGATATCTGAAAATGCCATGATATCGAAAATCATGAAAATAAACCTTTTCTGGGGAACAAAAAATCAAACTCAGAACAAACTTTTAATGTGATTAAAGCTCATAACTGATCTCTGATAACTTGTAATTTAACACAGATAATGTTGTAGTATCAGATTGGTGCAACATTTTCACTGCATGATGAAGACTGCGTGAAATTACATGTGGAAACAGCTCAGGATATTGTTGCAGCACAATGGGCGTTAACTCACTGGAATCAGAATGTGAAAACTAACAACTTGAAAACCAGTTTGTTAATGTCACCATTCCTTTTTTATTTCACTGTGGAAGCACTCAGTTGGTTCACTAATCAGGAATTTTTTTCACGATTTCTAAAAAATATGATCAGCTGAAGAAGAAATCCTATTACGCTGGTTTGTACTTTAAAAGTTAGACACTCATTCAGCTGATGCTTTTAGGTCTGTATGCTGGTGATACATGTTCAAAACCGAAAGAGGCAATTTCGCAAACAATCAAATTTTTGGATTCACTTGGTTTTTATGAGCCTGATGAATGCAACACAGGAAATCAAAATTTCCGCAAACTTCTTGGTATGACAAGAAATGACCCTAAATTAAAGGATAGTTTTTATGCATTGTTTTTATTTCTACACATAGCAAGTTTCAAAAGGAATAATTAGTAATTCGCATAAATTTAAGGATTGTTTCTGCCAAAGGATCCCGCATCGGCGAAGGCAGTTGCTTCGATCCTCCAAGCTACGCCGTTGCCACTGTTGGCGTATAATTACGCAGTAGCTGATGAATTGACACAAATGAATATTCCTAATTTTATTACAACTGCTCCAACTCTAACAGTTTTCATTGATGTTAGCTTTTCATTTGCTTTGTAGAGAGGAATTTCAAGCAAAAAGTTTAGTCATTAATAATACATGCAAACAAGCTAGATTTTGAAAAATAAAATGGGATTTGCAGGTCTTTTTACTTGTTACTTCATCATTGTATTATTATATTCTAGGCGTTTATAAGGTTTATGAAAAACTTGAATAGCAATTTGGTGGCAATCGTGAGAAGAGCCGAAGACGAAAGTCGAATAAACCGCCTTCTAAGCAGATTACGACAAAAAAAGATCTTCATTTCCGAACTGATTGATCCAGAAGCTCCCAATTTTGAGCAGGTTATTCGGGATTCAGACAGCCAAATTATATTTGCACTTTTGTCCAAGAACGAGGTGATTTTCGCTTGGAAATATTTTCTGATAATTATTTTTATTTGAATTTTATTCTGATAGATTCCCTGAGAAAATTTAACTTTTGTGGCGTGAATGATTTTCTTGTGAAGGAAGGTGAGATAAGACTGATTGGAAAAATGTAATGAAACATGGCGATATTATAGTTGTTAATTTTTCACATCATTTTATCCATTTATCTTAAAACAGTTACCAAGGACAAAAAAAGTTACGAAATCTATGATAGTATAACTACAAATAATGAAATCACTAAGGATGCTGGATAATTTCAAGGTCTTACTATAAGTTTAAGGTCTTGTCAGGTATAGATTGAAAACCTCGTCTCGAAATATTAGTTGTGATGTATATTTCACGGGTCTTTGAGTTGTGATATGTGTGCTTTTAATTGCAATACTAGCAACTGCGGAGAATACAACAACACTAACAAAATCAAATTACAATTGATACTGATAATCATAATAGTAACCCTTCCGTTTGTCTCACATCTCTTTTTTTATCGTATATTATCCTTTCATTTTCGCTCTTTATCTAATTTCTCTTCAAAGGATTAGACGATTACTAACTTCTCTGAGTCTGGAATGAATGCGACATAAAACTCCAGTTGTGACGAATATTTCACAGGTTTGGGAGTTGTGATGTATGTACTTGTTACTGTAATACAAGCAATTGTGGAAAATACTGCAAATAACACTAACAACAGCACTAATGAAATCAAATTGGTATAACAAAGGCAATAACAGTTATAAAATGTTCACCATTAAGTGAGCATTTTCCCATGGAACAAAAGCTAGCTTTTGTCATTTCCAATGTCACAATAAACCATAATTTTGGAACAAAATAAGAATGCCGAAACAATTTGGGAAATTTTTTCCTATAAGTAGCAAAAATTTTCGTGTGCTTGAATTTTAATTTGAAATACTTTTCAGATTACAAAATTAGTTACTGGAAATAATTTCGGAATTGATAAAACATGGGTTGTAGTCGAAATGGATACGGATGAACAGCTGTCTGAAAGAAAGTTATCGGAGTTTATGGTAGATTCAGATGTTCAGGTGCTTACTCAGCAACTTCATATTATTCTGGAAATTTTAAAAACTTGGATTCACCCGTGTTATCAGAACATCGGCCTTATTCTAGATAATATACTTGCGTCAACAACAGCGTGATTTACCCCAATTCAAGAATTACTTTTTGCGACTGTTAAAAAACAACTATCAATCTTATTCATTACTCAGTTCGTTTATGCAGCAGGTAATCTTGATCAACCAATTCTGTACATTTTGGCGGCTTATAAATCACACGGATGCACTTCTTTCTTTTGTAGATTTTGTGGAATTCTTTTTTCTTTTTTTCTGTTTATAGTGAAACGTTCGCTTTTGAAGACTTTACAGATTCTTTTTTGGATCGCTGAAAACTTACCAAACTTTTTCAAAACTAAAATTGATTTTTGGATTTGTAGATGTGCAACTGTACTATATCGAATGGAAATAATGATAATGAATGCTCTAAAATTGATGTTCAAACGCTGGCACTTAATTACAAGCAGACGTCAACTATTGAATCTGTAATCAGAGCCGTTTATGCTTTTACTGCTGTTGCTGCTAGACTAGAAAAAAAGCCAATAGCATTAGCACTATGGTGAATTTAATTAAATTTCAATAAGTTGCTGGAAAAAAGTGCTGAAATGGTGAAAATTCATCCTTGTCACTTCCTATTTAATAAAAAACTAAAATCTCGAAATGAGTAAACTAATTCTGACAAAACTCTAGCTGGTCAACTTATCGAAACCAAGAGCATAGTTCGCTACAATCATCTAATGATGATTGTACCGAACTATGAAAACAGGGAGACATTTTGGTCGGTTAAGAGCAGACAGATCGAAAAATTGACAGTATATCTGTTGATGGATTAAAATAACATAGTGATCTTCTTTAGGTAGACTAAAAATCATGTTTGTAGTTCAGAAGCTTTACCATATGTGGGAATAATCATAAGAAGAAATATGTTAGTAAAGTAAAGTGTATTGTAGTGCTAAGCCATCTTCGAAATGTACGGAATTAATTATGACCGAGTTAGAATCACTGACTTATGAATTTGATGTCAATGATCCAGCTGAATTAGTTGGCACAAATCTACATTTTTACTGGGAGTCGAACACAACATTGATTTCGAATGGGATTGTTATCGAAGGAATAGAAATGATTGGTGACGAACAGCTGGGCCTTGTGGAAGTTAAGGTAATCATTATGCCATTGAATAAATTATTTTAAAAACAATTTTGTAAGAATAATAGTTTTTCACCAAGGAAAGATCAGTCTTCTGTTTGTTGAATAAATCAATTTAATAACAGTTGAAAACAAGATTAAAACTTAATTTGCTTTCGTATCATCACAGTTTTTTATTTTTATTTGGAACTTACTTCCGTATTCGATCAAACTAAGGCTTACGTGCAAGTTTATATGAAGTCAGACAAATTTTAATTGGATTAGATTTCAAGATATTGCAAGATTTCATTCGTGTATAGACAGAACTACGAATGTCGCGAATTTCTCAATCTCAAACTTGGGTAATTAAACCTTTATTACTCAAAACTCGGTAATACAGGAACGAATTCAACAATTATAATATCAATGTGAACAAAAAGGGGACCAAAGACCAAATGACGTCCGTTATCGTCTTCCCAACTGATCTGTTGGAACACGTCTTTCGAAAATGATTTGACGCTCAGGACCTTCTTCTTTTTATTGCTGCAATTTCGCGTTATAACTTTCGGAGTTTTTCCGATATTCCTGACTGAAGAAGAGTATTGCCTTTAGGAGTTATAATACTGGTGTATATTTTTTCTGATTTTCGGTTTAAATTCGAAATTTTGGTGTTTGAATTTTGTTAAGTAGCATTCCTAGTTCTTGACGCTATAAGTCCTCCTTGTCGATCTGGTTTTTCCATTGCTTTCTCAGAAGCTTTCGGTTGAATTTTCGAACTTTCTTCAGTAGTTATTTCCAAGAGATATAATGCATTTACTGGTCTACCGAGAAGTTTCCCGTAGGCATCTCTACCAATGTGCTTCTTGTCACTCCATCTCTACCTTTTCTGAGTTCTTTTATCCTTGCCGACTTCCACAAGCCTCGAGGCGTTTCTGGTTCATCTACTAATACAATTTCGTCCTCTCTTAGTTTATGATCTTCTGCGCCTTTAGAATTTACATGTTCCTTTTGATTTCTTTCCCTAAAGCTCGTTAAGTAGTCCCTTTCCCACGTTTCCCAAAATATATCGAGCACTTTAAACGTTCCCAACCAGTATTTAATTATTCGTTCCCTTGTATCAAAGTTTCCTGGTTTGAATTCGTCCTGTTCGTCATCAACTGTTGGGATAATTAAAGAGACACTAGGATGTATAAAATCAATTGGGCGTATTATATAACAGTCATCGGAGTTAGCATAAATCAACGGCCAGGCATTCAGTACACCTTCGATCTCCACAATCAACGTCATAAGTTCTCTTTCCCATAACAGTTTACTTCCAATAGCTCTTCTCATAATCTTCTTGGTCAGTCCTACCAGTCATTCATAGAGTCCACCACTCCAAGGATCACTCGGTGTTATATTTTCCCAAACCATTCCCTTTTCTGCTGGGAATTTATCTGTTCTGATGTGTTCCTGCTCCTTCATGGCTTTGAAAACTACTTGGAATTGGCTTGCATTGTCGCTCAAAACTCGTTCCGGATAGCTACGTCGAAAGATGAATCTGCCAGGAATTTATCTATTCTGATGTGTTCCTTCTCCTTCATGGCTCTTGTTGTGAAACACGTGAAAATAATCCAATCCGATTTTTGCAAAAGTCCTTAACACGTGTAGAAAACTTTCAGCTGACAAATTTTTTACAATCTCAAGATGAACTGCTCTTGTTGTGAAACACGTGAATAGGGCAACCCATCTTTTGGTTACTCCAACTTCGGTTTTGATGGAGATCGAGTCAAAATAATCCAATCAAGCAAAAGTCCTTGAACGTAAAACTCGTGATTCAGGAAGATTCAGCATAGCTGGTAGTTTAAATGGCTTAGCTGTCCAACGTTTGCAGCCCGTGCAGCCTGTTATAACACGTCTTACCTCCATTCGTCCTTTCGGTATCCAAAATTTGCGCCTCATTTCCGAAAGAACATGCACTACTCCAGCATGACATAGCTTTTCATGTTGTTGTCGTATCAAAAGTTCGGTAACCGCATTATGCCTCGGTAAGTAGATTGGATGTTTGCTTTCCTCGAACTACCTTCGAATTTTCCAATCTACTCGTGATCTCCACAGCTTTCTGTCATTGCAGTACAAATTCCATTTTTCCTTTTCTTCCTCGTTGAGTCCTTCTGTCTGCACTTGTCTAATTAGCACCCATTTGGCTAATTTAAAATCCTCCGACGTTAGTCGTTTCACTTCTGTCGACATCGGTTGTATTCATG